GTTGTCTGCCGTGCAACTGCCACTCTGCAGCAGCTGAACCTGTTCGTTTTGGGGGAAAAAAAAAATCCCCAAACGTGCAAAAACGACAGGCTTTTCGGTCAAGCATCACGTGAGTCCCCACCCCTCGGCCCCACGAATCGACGAAAGAGAAAACGTGCAGTTTTGGCCGAGCCACCCAGTACCTATGGTTCCTCGCATCGGCCCACGTGGCGTGCCGGCTCGGAAGACTAGAGGGATTTCGCCGAAACGATAACGAAAGTTCTGGGAAGGAGATTTAATCGTAATCCCTCACGACAGCCGAAGCATGAAAAAGTGTTAGATGGAAAAAAAAAATCGTTTCCGTCTTTCCTCGTCGCAGAAAGACAATGCCTCTGGAATGAGAAGAGGGGTCGAAATTAATTTCGCCCCCTCCCAGGCAATAAAACCAGACGCTCGATTAATGGCCGGCGATCAGTCACCGGCGCCCTACAAAAGGCTGAAAACCACTCCCGAGAAGCTAATATTTTTGATCTCTTAATCCATAGGGACTCGAGACCCCAATTATTTTCCTCATCGTTCGACCGGCTGTGCGAGAATCCCTGGATCGCTCACTCGCAGAAAGGTGCTCACTGTTCGAGAGTAAATTAAGCGTACATTCGCGGAAGCACCGTACCGTGCCATTAAAAAAAGTCGTTCTGCGTAATTCCCTTTGAGACGACATCCTTTGTTCTCGTCTGTCATAGCCGATTGTCTCGGCCGCCATTCGGGAAAAGCCGAAGCGCAATGAACCTGAAAACGAGGATGGGCGGATTGAAAAGGATGAATTCCTCCCGGATAATTGCAGCTCCATTCAGAGAGAGAAAGAAATGCGTCTTGGTATCCAGGCGGGGTCGTCAAGCCACCTCATTGAACGCAGATCACGTCGAGGTCTTTACGGATCGTGTGGAAAATTTCGCATGCCAAGAACGCTCGGGGTCTCGTGTGTAATTCACGAACGTGTAGTTCATTCAAAATTTAATGGAGAGATGGCGCTGGCGTCTATACACCCGAGTATGCTGCACTGATGCCTATATACCATGCCATCTCCATATTATTTTGATGAACTCACCGACGCCACGAAACGCCACGGTGAAAGTGAATGCGAATGGGGCAATAGAAAGCGGAAGGAATCTGTCACGAGTGCAGGCGCATCTCCGTTTCTCCCAGATGCTATGCAACCATGCAATGCCGAGCAATGGAACAGAGCGAAGGGAAGGGAACTGAACCCATTGGGTCCCGCCCCGCAATGCAAGCGACGAGGTTGAGGCTGGTCCAGGGCAGGGTCTCGACGCCACGTGCCTGGGTCTGCTCAGTCTCGCTTCGTCTACCCTCGTGTTCGCATCTCCCTTCGCTCTCGTCGCTCTCCCTCGTGTGTTCCGAGTACTTTTTTCTCGCCTCCGTTCCACGTGACGTGGATCCTTGGTGCCAGGTGCACGGGTTTCGTGGTATTTGTGGATGTCGCCTGGTGCGAGTCAGGGCTCACGTTCGTCTCATTTTTACCCCCTTTGGAGTTTTGCATCGCTGATTTGCGAGTCTCTGGTCCGATGCGGAAGAAAGAACAAATATGCAGCTCATCGATCTGTCTCGCCCGTGAAGGGGATCCAGGGCCCAAAATAGCATCAACATTAAACATTGTTTATTAGAGATGAGTTATATTCGATTTTTCATAATTGGGAGAAGTAAAGTTGTGGATAGAAGATGGTTAATTTCAATAGTTAACCTTTTTTTGCTCTGGCTTCTCAAGGCAGACTTGGAATTGATAGGTTCTTTCGAACGTGCGCACTATGAGGTGCCGCCAGGTGCCAGTCGTGAGTCATTTGCGTGCATAATAGCTCCGAGGCTGAAGCCTGCTCCTGGATACTCGCTGCACGCTCTGTCTATCTTGGGGTTTTATGAATTAGCAAGGCAGTGTTGCGAGATTTGCAAGGTTGCTTGCAGGGTGCAATAAAATGCGTCGTGTTTTATGAGGATGGGGTTTCGGATTCAATCTCCTAATAATTCTTCATTTTTCAAGACTATGACGGTAGAGGTGAAACCATCGGTAGTGTTCACTCTTGAAAGCACTATCGCTGATCGTTAGCTATAGATATATGTCGCCGTGGAAGAACGACCTATGGCATGAAAAAATCTCAAATTCCGTTGCGTTCCGTAGGTGTTGGTGAAATGAGGCATCTCCTCTACCAGGATCTGAGAGGGAACAGGAGAGAATGGGAGATATTAAAAAAAATTAGACTGTGATTCTCATGTGATTCGCAGTCGGGAGGACTCTGACCAAAGTAATTGTTCGTACCCTTGGGTGATATGTTTGTGATCCTGGAATCAAAACATGTCGAGCTACAGCGATTCCCTTGGCGGAAGTTCACACGTGAGTCTCCTTTTTTCCTTCAACCTAAAATGTTGTCTATTTTCTTGAGGAACGTTTACATTGTTCTTTCCTGTGAGTGTTCTTATGCCTCCGTGAAATTACGTGTCTTCGAGAAGCAATTCCTGTGTCTACATCGGGTCGACAGGGAATGAGATGGATTCACACGAGGGCAATAAATTACACGGAAGGAGGCTATTTGTGGGATGTGCATAGGTCTGGATGGTGTGGGATGTGCCACAGGTCCTCTCATTCTCTCTAATGCTGCCAACTTTCTTCGGGTTTGCGTGAGGGAAACAGAACTCTTGTGAGGGTTTTCCGTTTTTCCGTTTTCCTTCCAGTCGTACCAGAATTTCGTCGTGTGATTAAAAAAAGAAATTATCCTCGATATACGAGGGGCAGTTCACACGTTTCTGCCGTCGGATTCTCAATCCACACAGAATGGAGGAAGAAGATTATAAATTAGGTATGAGCTTCAACATGAAGGGAAAATTATAATTAGGTGCGGGTCTTAATATAATCTCGACGTTGAAATACGGACCGCCATCTTTTTGACTCCGAATGCGACTTGCGTTCGTGCTGCGAATGTCATCGTCGACAGCTGCTTCCAAGGTTTCATCGAGATTCCCTCGGTGGCTCCTTGGCCAGGGACTTCAGCGCACTTTAAAGACACTCTTGAGCTTTACGAGGCAATGGGCATGGAAATAAGTGTGGAAATGAGAAGTTAATAGAGGATCACCCACAACCATGAATTTGTGAGTTAATAAATTATGAAGGCGTTCCGGGAACCATCTGAAAGCTATTATAGCCTGGTTTTTTTCAGGTTCCAGGGCTCTCAATAGCGAATGGCCTACGCGCATGCCTTATACTATTTCTAGTTTGATATTGCATGCATTCGACCTGGTGACGGGCAGAATTCGTGTGAGTTCTACGCGTTTGGATTTTCAATGTTAATAGATAATACGATGGCAAGTGTCAGTTTCTGCTGTTTGACATGAAAAAGTTCGCTACGGAGGAAGCGGAGAGTTCGTCCTTCGACTCTCGCGATTCTCGGTATGGCGACGATCATGCGTGACTCACGGCTGAAGCGGAGCATTCTCGCAAAGTAGCCTTTGGCTGAGGCCTGTGCGAAGAAGTCCCGTCTCGGTACTTTCACAGGCCGGCAGCCTTTAGGAGGCACCCACGCAGCGGCGTCGACACGTTACGCAACGCTGGATTTGCCTTCGAGAACACCCGCTGTCTTATTAGCCTTCGTGCTGACAGTGATGTGATTATCGCCGCCGAGATGAAAAGGGGACGTCATATTATGCGACTCTGCGGGAGATGCCGAGCATAATTTACTTACACGTTTTGGGGATGTGCCGTAATGAGAACGTCCCGGTTGTCTCATATTTCCCGTGTCAGGTAGAGTTGTTATGAGGGAAAAATGAATCTCCCTTCCGTGCATTACTGCTGTGAACAGCAGCGATGCTTTTTTTCTTTTTCACATTAGACCCTGCGAAAGCTAGTCATTACGCCCCTAATTTTCCTCCTTTCAGTTTTACTTCCTTTCCGTTTCTGATAAGATAATAAGCGCTGGGATGATGTCAAACGGGATGCATTTTTCACTGGAGTTTCATTTTTTCTTCCTTCTTGCACGGAAGGAAGCGGGAGAAAAATCGTCTGGAACCTGCGTCATCATTTTTTCCCCTCTCCCTCCTTAACAGGATTCCCATATGAAATTTATTGAATTCCCCTCTTCTCCCGAGACCAGAAATTCCCAAACGCCTTCCTCGAAAACACTAAATGAACTCTCTGACCCACATAACTTCCTCCTTTTCCCTTCCGTTTCAGTTCTTTCCTCGTCCCACATTCCATTTCCTCCCTCGCAAAAGTTTCCGCATCCATCGATTCCTTTAATTTTCTCGGTTCGGCTGGGCCAACGGTTCGCTGATGTTTTCCTCTTTTACCTCCTTTGGAAACTCGAAGCGTCCAGTGAGTCTCTATCGTTTAGGAACCTCTGGACGAGGCAATACGCTGAAAACGGAATGCCCGGGGAGGATCGATCACGTCTCTTCTCATTGTCTGCCACGACAGAGCTGCATGAACGAGAGAAACGGGGGAAGGGAAGATGCCAATCTTCCGAGTTCATATCGAAGATCGTGGGGATGAGGGAGAGAGATTGGGTTTGGTGTTCATGTTTGTGTATGAGAGGAGGCCCGGGAAAAACAGGGCTTAGGCAATAGGGGATGCTTCTTTTCATGATCATCTTTCCTCTTTGATGCCCCTCGTCTCGTTATAGGACTTGGCATGCATCCCGGAAGCATTTATGTCCTCCCCTGCGCTATTTCCCCCGTTTATTCCTTCGATGCGTGCCATTCATCCTCGACCTCCCTGCCGAATTCCGCTGATTGCAATTTCTACTTCGAAGGGGGCGAAGTGGTCCCGAGCATTCGAGTTTTCATTCGAAGGATCGAACTTGAGGTTTGTGAGGGTTAAAGTGACACGAAAGGTCAAGAGTGACGTCGAAATTTATGGTGTTCTCACGTTACGTCGCCATTTTCGATAGGGGAAATGGCTCGCCAAGTTTTTCCACGTGCTCGCGTCAACATGCTGCTAGTTTTCTGCTGTAATTTCGGCGATGGGGTCAAATTACGAAAGCGTAGCCAAAAATCTTGACACCTATTTTATTCTTTGAAAAATATGAGTCTTTTCTGTGACACTATTCGTATATATATGTTGCATATACACTTTTTTCACGTAATCTCCGAGCCTTCTACATTTTTCCCAGTGTTGACGAAGAGCCAGTATTCCTCATCAGTAAAGTATCTCTTCTTGTAAGGAAGATAGTAACGTACTACTCGTTTCACTGTCTGATCAGTTGTAAGCCATGCTACTTTTCAAGTGTTTCTTCGAAGAACTGAATAAATGAAAATCCTTGGATTTTCAAATCAGGACTTTTACCTGGATGAGGAAACACTGCTCGCTATTGATGCGAAGGTTCGAAAATGACCTGACTGTGAAATGTGTAATACGTCCGTGGCTTCATTAATCAAAGGGATGCATTTTACCAACTTGAAATGCAGACTCTTTAAATTACTGGGAAAAGGGCACAAGTCGAGACGGAGGTTATTTGAAAAGTAGGAGTAAGTGCAATGTATGTTGGTATACAGAGTATGGCAAAAAAGGACCTGTGACTTTGAATCTTAAGACACTGCGCGCTAACTAAAGTGAATATTTTGCATTTTCGGTTGTATTTGAGTTCTGCTGTTACCTGTTATTAAAATGTGTCAAAACAGAATAAATGTTCATTTACTATTCTTTAGAATTGTAAATAAGAAGTTGAAATGGGTTGCCTGTCATTTATTTCGCAACAAAAAATGCATCCAAGTTACTTTTAAACGAGAAGAGGTAAAATATCCAATTAAATTGACGCCCAGTGTATCTCAGCACCCAGTGGAACTATTTTCGCGAAACTTTCACAATGCATGAGTTTGTTTCCAATTGATTCTAAAATTTCATCCGAATTTGTTGGGCCGAAGCAATCCTACCAGCAGTTATTGAAAAGGAGTTAGACATTGAGAATGGACAAGAGCTCCTGCTGAGAGTGGAGAGAAGGAAACACTCGAGCGTTGTCCCTCCTGATCATCCAGACCTCGTCGGACTCCTCTTCCTTTTAAATTCATTCGTGGGGCTGATTGTCTATTGCAAATGGTTTTCATAAGATCATTCCCAATGAATTGCAAATGAATCAATTAATATCAATCCAGAGAGTTTTCTCAAAGCTATTCAATATTTCCCTTGGTTTTCTGAAGGAACTGTCTACTTCTAATGTCAGGTTTGACTTAGAATATCGATTATAACTTTCACTAGAAGTAATAGATTTTGGCAGCCTTGTTGAGTTTAAAATAAATGAAGGCATGCTTCATCCGCAGCAAATTTTGTGAGTTATGACTTAAGCAATCATAAGATACACTCAAAGTCGTTGGTCTTTTTTGTGATACCTTGCAGACTCAGGTTGACGTAAACCAAGGGAAAATTTTCATGAAATACAGGAAAAGTATCTGGATATTGATACTCATTTATTCATCTACTATTCATTTTGAACGAAAACCATCTGCAAAAGACCACCAGCCCAAAGAATGAATTTAAATGGAAGAGTTCGACGTGGTCTTGATGACCAGAGAGACAGCGCTAGAATGTACTCCACTACCAGAAGGGGCTCTTGTCCATTCTCAATGTCAACTTTATTTTGAATTACTGCTGACAGTGTCTCATCAACCCAACAAGTTCGGATGAAAAGTTTGAGAATCAGTTGGAAATATGCTCATGTATTCATAGTAAAAGTTTCGCAAAAATAGCTCCGTCGGGTGCTGAGATATTAAGGTTAAAAATCATTGGTCTTTTTTTTGCCATACCCTGTATATGTACGATGACTGAAACAGTAATTAATTTATATACTTTTCGAGGAATAAAGAGGGTAAGAAGACTAAATGCTTCGCCCTCGCTAATAAAATCAAATGAAGACTCACGGTACGGCACGTGCATGGCTTTCACATGTTTCATTACTCAGAATATATCGGATGTAGTATCAATCTGCATGGGCAGGACAGGGTATTTGCATTGGATAATTGTAATAATCTCGTAATGTAGAAATTGGATTGGGTATGTGCGTGCTTTTGTGTTTGTGCATGTGTTTGCTTGCCTGTCTTCCTAGTTTTCATCCACCCTGTTAACAGTTCATCGCTGATTGGAATTTCACTGGACTTCACGTGGGAATTTGTCTTCATAGCGGGAGCAGGTTATGTTGTTTTGAGACTAATGTGGGGTGAGGCTAGGTTATAAATTTGCGGCAGCCCTTTCAACGAAGTAGAATCATTCGCACTTAGGCCGTGGCAGTAGCTTTGAACAGAAGTTTTCTTTGATCGGGTATGCAATACTTCTCTTTTTTTTCAGTTTTGGTCCATCCACTACTCTAGAGGAGTGCGAGTGGAGAGCTGAAATTAACAGCCTGCACTGTGTGCATTCCGCTGCTTCTCCTGGACTGGGCGGGCATGAGGAGTTCCGGGCGAGGATAGGGAGGGGCAGACCGGTCTTTTCCTTCCCTGGATCTCTTTGGCCTCCCTTGTTGACAGGTTTCTCTTAAGCGAATTTGACAAAAAAAAAGGCAGTGGAAATGCGTTGCCTTCGCGTGTTCATCATATCGAACTCCTTCTCAAAGAGGATTCTCCGGAGTTTTTCTTCTCTCTATTCCACTTGCCCTTGGTGGATTTTTTCGCTTGCACTTGCACTCCAATCTCTAAGGCTTAATTTTTTTGCTACCGTGGAACGTGCCGAGGCATTATGTTACCACACGAGCTAGTTTGTAAGAAGCGATCCAAGTCACCGTGAGTGATCCGGAAATTCGTTCCCTTATTCTCGGGCGACTTCCCTCTTTTTTTCTTTCCCTAGATCTTTCTCCCTCTTCGCCCTTTCACTTTTTTTTCTTAGCCTCCTTTTTTATTTTCTCTCTATCGCCTTTCCTCCTCATCCTTCTACCCGTAATGCCGGCTTTGTTCTTCAATCGATCCCTGGGAAAGTGACATCAAAGTGGAATTTTCTTGCTCCCTGGAGGCACACCCACTGCATATACGCACGAGACGAAAGAAAACTTGATTCTCCCACACAGTTTTACGCCTCCTCGTCCTCGAAGGCAAAATGGACGAGGAAGAAGGAAGTAAAAGAATTGTTGGTTTTATCGATCATCTTTCGTTTCCCCTCTTCTCTCTCTCTCTCCCTCCCTCTCTCTCTCTCCATCGCTTTTTCTTTCCTCCATCCTACTTCCTATAACTTGGGATTGGCACGATTACGTGTGATGCTTCTCGCGTGATATGGGTCGACGATGGGGTCAATGAGATCTAGAACCCTTATTTCCACTTCCCTTCTCCCTTTCATTGCCTATCCCTCTTTTCAGCATTTCCAAGTCAACGTTCCCAGAAAAAATAATTTAAAATGCTTTCAGGCCTAATTAAAAATCATCGTATATATGACAGAAGCCCGGAATCATAAACCTGTCCCATAAAGAGCGTGCAAACGATGCCATGATGACGTTTAATGACATCTCGGCAGGGCTCGTACTGGGAGGAACAGGAAGCGGAGAAGGCGAGACGTCGAATTTCTCAAGCGAGAGCGGGGAGTTCACCTCAGTCCATCCTCCGCGGAAGGACGGGACCGACTGCCCCCATCGGCCCGGGCAATTGGCTGTGGCAGCGGATCTACGCCCTAATGACTCGTCTCTTCCGGAAGGCCTGGAAGGAGGTCCGATTCAAAGGTTAGTCGAAGGTTTTCAAATCGAGTCCGATGATGAGTCCGTCTTGGGATCTAACGCACAGGGTACACGGATACCGAATGAGAAACAGCAGGTGAATCCCAGGAGTTCTCTCTCGTTTGTTTTTCCCCTTCTTTTTCTCCTGGTGCCTCAACCATTACGAGGTCTGCGTTTCCTCGGGCTCCTCTTACGTTCGGTCTCTCGCGTGCATTTCTCCCCTTTTGTTCTCTAGATGCTCTTGATGTCTACGTCGTTCGGGATTTGATGGCGTGCGTTATGCACCCTCATCCTCTCGGGACCACTTGCGAAGCATCGCTTCCTTGCCTTTGCTTTTTTCCCCCTCTCAGCTGATCGCATTCGTTAGTAATGTACTTCTGCGAAGGGGGCAACAAGTGGAAGAGGAATTGCTTCCTCGTGGGTATATGAGATGAGGGGAATTTCCTTGTCAGTCTGGAGTGAGATGGATTCTGTGAGTGCATGATGGAGATCATTTGGAGCGTTATGAGAGTGATAAATCTCCCTTGAGAAGAGGATAATGACTCGCCTTATCACATTCACCCCATACAGGAATCCCCATCGGCATTAAGTCCCCATCATCGCAGAACCACCTGGAAGAGACAAAAGGACTCCATAATCACTGAATAACGAGCACAGAGAAGTAGTTTTTCTGACGGTGTTTCGTTTGTGAGAGCTTTTATTGGAGATGTGCGGAACCTCTCACTTGGGTGGAGAGGGGAAAGGGAAGATGAGCAGACGAAATAATCTTGGAGAGGAGATAGAAGGAAGCTTGAATTGCCACGTGATGCTCTTATATGAAAGGGAGGAGGAAAAAGAGGAAGGGAGAAAGAGAGGAAAAATGGAGGAATCAATCCTCTTCCCCCTCGCTTCCTCTTGCTTCAGATTTTTTTCTTCCAGGGTGATAATATCCAGAGCTTACAAGTAGTTGAACGGATGGTACGCAAAAAAAGTACATAAAAGAGGCCATTAAGGCTGGATTGCCACCATGTGGAAAGTTCCCTTTTACGATCAAGTTCGGAGGGGAAAAGGTGAAGGGTAAAATCCCTCGGGAAAGGAGGGAAGCCTCACTCAAGGGAGAAAAAAATTAAAAGAAATTGAGGTGCCCGGAAACTCTCCTGAGAATTTGGGGCAACCATTTCACGCGATGCATTTTAAATAGATCCGAGATTTGAATTAGAATGGGGGTGATTATAAGTTCCTGGAAATATTGCTCGATATTCCGTGGGATGGGAATGAGAACAGACGCTCTAGTGTACAAACATACACAGAGCCTCGTTTATTTATAGAACTTTCCATCCTTTTCTTCTTTCAATGACTTGTGAGAAGCTGACGAAGCGTGAATATTCTGCAGACACTTCGAAGAGAGTACTTAGTCGATACTTGAATGAGCTTTCCGTGCGGAGACCCCTTGTTTCTCTATTCGCTTCCGGCGACCCTCGCATTCCCTCATTGGATGTAAGACGCCCAAGTATTGCTCCGTGTTATGGTGTGTGTTTCCTCGTTTCGTTTCCCTGGAAACCCATCAATACTGCACAGGTTTCTCAGACTTTCTTCTTGGCCAGCGTCCGCTACCGCGACGAGATGAAGGAGAATATCGAGCCCCTTTGTCATCTGGGATCTAGAACCTTCACGATATGAACCCGACCTTATGAAATATCTAGATCCCGGTCGAGACGCGCAGGGAATTACAAGGAGCCATCTGTCATAAAAACTCCGGCTTCACAACATCTCTGGTGCATACCACTGATGTTGTGTCAGGAACCCCGTGACCATTCCGGAGATATTGAAATGCGGCTACTGCTATGTGATATGCAAAAAGAATAAGGAGCCTATCTTGCACCATGTGGGAATATTTCCAAGTAAAGGAAGTAAGATGCCCCCTCCTTTTCCCATGTGAAGGTGGATTGGAGGGGGAATGGAGAAACGATGTCTCGACGATCAATCACTGTAGCCTTCTCCTTCATCGACGTATTATCCATGCATCAAATTTCTTTCCGCTACCGTGAATAAAAAAATGTTCCCTGGATTGTTTCTATCATGATTCCAACAGACTCGGTTGCCTTCGAACCGTGAATAATCCCTCATACATTTTCTCTGCAGGAATGCGGCGCGGTATTGCGTTCTTGGTCTCTTGGATACCCGCTTTCTCATAACGTTGCTGGTACGGTCATGAATAATGCATACATGCGCTTATTTGATGGAAATGCGTGAGCAAGTTTATCGCTCTTTTTCGACTCGGGCAGGACTCGAACAGGTACTGTGAGTGAGTAAATGTTTTGCCTCCCAAGGGGTACCAGCGCTAGCTTTCCATTACTGTCATTTGTAGATCGAGAATCTTCATGGTGCCTCTCTTGTTTCTAACTGTAGAGTATGTGGATCGATATTTGTTCCACATCGACTTCTTTAGGCATGCAGCCGTCCCATTAAGCAAGGCCGTCAGTGGTCTGGGATTTGGTTTTGGTTGGATTTGGAACCAGGTGGATGTCCCGGTAGGCGGTATTTCTACCTGTTGGAACGATGTCCACCCGGGGGAAAATCCACCTGGTTCGAAAATCATGTGTGCGAATGAATGGGTGGATTTCCACCGGTGGGGACGTCCACCTGGTTCCAAATCCACCCCCTATCCACCTAGTTGTTTGACCAGGTGGATAGGGGGTGGACGTTTTGTAAGGGCTAGTTCGTACACGATAGTCAAATTGAGTATTTCGGCACTCATCGCAGAACCTCTCCGTTCGGACAGGACGTCGAAGTGCATAAGTTTAACTGCAAATTTTTATCTATCTACTAATGCATTCTTGGTTCAGAAGATGATTTTCATGATCGCGCAAATTCGGGACGCTCGGTGACTTGCGGTAATGAAATTAGACGAAAAGTTCCGTTTCTCTTCGGATGGAACATTTTAATCTGCAAATTTTCACAGCGGAAATCAATGGAAAATGGAAGAAAGCGTGAGGTACTTTCGAATTCAGGAACTAAAAAGGTTCTGCGTCGTTTGTTTGTTCGACGTTGTTGAACGACGTTGGTGAGCACATCTGCCCCCCTCTCCAAATATGAGCCAATGTGGTCGAACCAGTTCTATTCATGTTGCAATATCCTCTAATTCGACCTTGGAAACTGTGAACCCTTTCCTGAAAAAAATGGACATTCTAAAAAAATTACCAACCAGCGCTTCTCCCTATGAAACCCTTACCCTAGGCAAGGGAAGTCGAAAGTGGAGTGAAGAGGTGGAGGAGGACGGGAGATTGGAGCCGGGGGGGGGGGGAAGTAAATTGCTTCGGAAAAACTCTCGGTCTGCATCCGCCATTCGGAGACCCGTGCTCTGTTGCTGAGCAACAGTCAATTAGGTGACGATACTCGCTGATGTCAATTCGACCAAGGCCGAAGAACATTTTAGAATCCTGTTTGATTCTCGACAGACTCAGTTTCCTGTAAAATAAGGACCTTTTGGGTTGATGTTGAATAAAACTTTCCTGATAATTATTTTAACTATACGTTAAGCTGTGGAAAATTAGTTGAAATTTGCATTTAGATTGTTTGAACTGCGCGTTAGTGCCGAAAAAAATCTTACGACGGACGGATAAAGGGGTGGCAGGTTTCTCTCAAGTGGACTTCCTCTTCAACGTGCTTATTAAAGGAGTCTGTCGACTTATCACTAGATCACCAGAGGATTGGTGAGAACAATAGGTTTCTGATAATCCCACCAATGATAGAAAGAGACTCGGGGGGAAAGATGAGAAATAGGCTCACATGCTTTAATGCAACTCTTCCTATGCCCCACGTTTCGCCTGCATGAACTTGGTCTAAAGGTGATCGATTCCCTATATACCAGACCGCGAATGATGAACGATACCACCGATGATCAATTAGTCTCGCGCTTGGCCCGCTCTCCAGACTTGGTTTTCCTTCTCTTCTCTCTCTCTCTCTCTTTCTGTTGATCCTTTCAGTGGAGATGAGCTTCAGTTTTTCATTCTCCATTCTTCCATTACTCTGATTATGCTCTGGTCTGGTTCAGTTGGTTCAGTTGTCTGCTTGGTGCTTATTTGTCCGTGACTCATACTCTCTCCTCTCTCTTCGTCATATTTATTTGTGCTTTTTTTTTACTGTCGTATTTCTTAGATGTAAATGGAGGAAGTAAATAGCCACTTCACTAGATGAGTTCGTCGAAGTTACGACGTTATACGCCGATGTCTTCTTTCTATTATTGTGTAGGAGTAAAGACTTTTCGACAGGAGACATGAGCCTGTCTTCCGTGACCCAGACAAGTGCCTGACTCAGCAGTTGAGAGATGTCACGGTGCAGACGAAGCAGACGAAGATGATGATGAGAAGGAGCACAAAAAAAGCCCTCACAGTAGCAGTTGAAAACCCTAGCTTTCTCTCTGGATGCGAGATTGCGTGTGAGTGTTTCGTGCGAGGGCGTCTATCTCCATTCATTGATCCATCCACTTGGGGGATTTTTCACCCAACCAGCACTGGATTCCAGTGTGTCCAACATATGCATTTTACGACGCTCTGGCGTGCACATTACCGGTGGAGGTGCGAAATGAGACCAGCTCTTTCCATCACACATCGATCGAGGCTGTGCAGGCCTCGATGAAATTCTCCGATAGCGGATTCAATTGCTATCTTGGGAATTTTCTTCTCCGCCTCCTCCTTCTCCTTTTCCCCCCTTTTTCCTCCTCCGCGGAGAAGGCTGGATGCGTAAGGGCATATCGGTCATGGTGCTCTGATTCCCATGGTGTGGACGTGATCTGACTTGGGTTTTCCACCTAAACAAGCCCTCTATCCCAAGTATTCGGCATGCTTTCCGTCCGTGATTTCATATAAGAGCGGGTCGCATGGTCTCCTCAGATAAGGGGCTTCATCACGAGGGCTTTTCTTGTTTGTGAGGGTCGAGTCTCTTTTGCCCTTAGTTCTTTGCTCGTCGCCGTTGCTAGTAACAAACTCTGCATATAGAACGGGAATATGCATGAAGGGAATCTCTTTTATGA